TTGAGGACATTTAAATATGTGCTTTAGAAGTGGTCATGGAAAATACCAAGAGTGAAAATTCTGCTTTTTTTTAAAAGCACTTCCAACCTTAATGTATGGTTGCAATGCAAAATGGAATTAAAAGAAACTCATAACTGATGTGTCATAGCTGTGAAGTCTGTCACAGCATGAATCCTTTCGAGCTGTAAAGATGCCTGGACACCTGAGTCACTGCTTTTTGCTTTTTTGAAAGATGACAGCAAAAGCCCCCCTGGAGCGAGCGTTTAGCTAGACAGTGAAATGTTTGAAGGGTAAAATATGAAACAGAGAGAGGATTTTATCAGGGAACTGTTCTCCCTACTCTGGAGAGTGAAGGGGAGGACGAGCTCCTGGTTTTTCTGCTGCTTTCACGTGCTCTGGGAAGACACAGAGATGTGTCACTGACCACAGCTCGGCAAAGGGGAGGGAAAGGTTTGGAAAATCGGGGGTTTGCTTTGTAGGGAGATGAAAATGCAGGAACACAGATGGGAAGGAAAATCCTCACTGGAAGGGGAAGGGACTTGGAAGCAGTTGTAGCTACAAGAGGTCTCAGGGCAGTAACAAATGTTTGGGCAGGGGAAGGGGCACAGAGCAGGGAGGATGTGCTGCTGCTGCTGCTGGAGAGGCTGTGCCTGGAGGAGGAGTGGAGGGGAGAAATGAGAGGGAAACTAAACTGATCAAGGGGTGGATTTAGGTAAAAACAGAGAATTTCATGGAGATTTCGATATTATTCATAATTATTTATTGACAATCTTGCAAATGGATGCTGTCAGGGGACTGTTAGGTGGGATCTCAGGAAAAGGTTCTTCCCCCAGAGGGTGGTTGGGCACTGCCCAGCCTCCCCAGGGCAGTGGGCACAGCCCCAAGGCTGCCAGAGCTCCAGGAGGGTTTGGACAACGCTCTGAGGGACAGGGTGGGATTGTTGGGGTGTCTGTGCAGGGCCAGGAGTTGGACTGGATGATCCTGGTGGGTCCCTTCCAGCTCAGGAGATTCTGTGAATCTATTCTGTGATTCTGTGATCTTTAAAAGGATTTAAAAGACGGGAGGATTAGAAAGAAATTTAAAGAAATATTAAGACTTGAGTGCAGTCTTTGTTCAGCCCTTTTTATACTTCCAAGAAAAATTATGCATAAAAGTTATTTTAAACTGTGTAGTAGGAATGTATAACTATGGTAGTTATCAGTCTTTGGAGCAATCTCCTGGGAAATCCTGAGCCCAGTTCCTTAGGAGACTTTAAAAAGAAAACCCCTTGGTCTGCTCTACCTTGCAGTCATGGATGGGCTTGAGGACACATTTTTAACTTTGTACTTAAATCCTCTGGAAAGCCTTTGACTGCCCTTCTGGCAAATCCACGCTGCCATGACATAGCTGGAGTAGGGGGAGGTGGATGATGATCCTGGGGAGGTGGTGATACCTGGCTGGGGAACAGGATCCAGGAAACCACGGCTGTGGATGCCACTTCCAGCTGGGCTGCTGCAGCCTCCCCTTTGCTGGATAATACCCAACTTCTCAAGCTTTGTGTGCAAGATTTCAGGTGTTTTATCCAGAATTTTTCAGTGAGTGAACAAAATCTCTGAGAAATCAGCGTTGGGTTGCACTTACCCTGCTTGGATGAGGCCAGAAATTTCAACAGAGGAAAAGGAAGGAACCCATTTTACTGATGACTGTTCAGTAAAATTTGCCCAGAAAGAGCCAAGAAGAAAACCACCTTTGTTTATAAATGAAAACCATTGACTGGCTGCTGGTACAGAAATGGAGAGATGCAGTTTTTAACCGAAATGGCTGTAAGGAAAGACAGCTCCATACAGTCGGGTTGAATTTGAATCCCTTCAGAGAATCCCAAATCTTTGCGTTGGCAAATCCCGCCCGGCCACAATGGAAACATCCCGAGCCAGGGCAGCCTCATAAACACAGAACAGGGACCACAAGCCAGAGCTTGCCATGAAACCAAAGACATGTTAAATCAAGAGAAAGAAAAATTGCCTTTTTTTTCCTTTTTTTTTTTTCTTTTGAAAGCGGTTAAAAGATGATGAGAACAAGGAAACATTTGCTTCACTCCTTCAGAATTTCAGCTCTGAAAGTTTTTCCTGTGGCTGCCTCTGGGAGCCCAGGACAGGGAGTACAAAAATGGGAGTGGGGATGGATCCTGCCCCAAACCAAGAGTGTATGTGAGATTAACAAAGTGGTGTTAAGCCCAGGACAAGATTTTAATGTCAGTTAAAGGCTTTTGGCCTTTCCAGAGAGCACTTGGATACTGAACTCTGCTGCTGGAACCTGAGCTGCAGCCCAAGCACGTCATCTCTGCCTGGGGTATCTTCCCATCAGCTGGAGCCAGAGTTGGACTCTTTCCCTGGCATTTTGCTGTGTGTTCTTTGCACTTTACCCAGTCATTAATCCAGTTCCTCCACCGCCCCTGGGGTTGTGTGCTCCTCCCACACCTGGGATGGGGTGGTGGAGAAGCTCCTTTGGCTCCCTCTGTGCCAGGAATCACAAGGAGAAATGGGAATCTGTGACTTCAGAGGAGCCGACCTGGAGTCCAAACGATAAGAAGCCATTTTGACATTCTGGTTTTGCCCTTTGTTATTTCTCCTCCTCAGAAGGAAACTCTGTGTCATTCTCCAGCAGTGCTGGCTGATTGCTCTGATCCAGAAGTCAGAAAGCAGGGAAAAGGTAAAAAAGTCTCCCCAGTTTTTGACTCTTGTGTTCCAGATCTGCTCTTGCTGCTTCAGTCACCCCTTGTAGCAAGAAATCTTGATTCTTCATACCTGAACTGATACTTCAAGAGCCTTGAAGTTCTTAGTTATCTGCAAATTTAGGAATTTCATCAGGAAAAGACCCCTAAGTATCTGGGAAGCTTAGAAGGATGAGGACCCATTGCAGCTGCATTGCCAAGCTGAGTTTTCAAGGGCTTGCATCAGTTTTCTGGTCTTCCTGTTTAAGAAGCAGAGAAAAGGGTTAAATTGTCAGCAGAAATTGGGGTATATTTGCATATAATTGTCTAATCAGGACTTGAGTGGCCCTTTGGAATTGCACACTGAGGTGTATCTGAGAAGGATGTCTTGGCTGAAACAATGAGTGAGATTTCCTGGCTGTTAATTATTAACAAGGAAGGAGGGAGGGAAGCTCAGTTAACCACAGGAAGGGTCAGAATGAGAGCAGCTTAGAGGTTTAGGCCTAGGAGTAAGAGCAAATCCACACATGTGCCAGGGCAAGGTTAGGTTGGATCTCAGGAAAAGGTTCTTCCCCCACAGGGTGGTTGGCACTGCCCAGGCTCCCCAGGGCAGTGGGCATGGCCCCAAGGCTGCCAGAGCTCAGGGAGGGTTTGGACAACGCTCTGAGGGACAGAGTAGGATTGTTGGGGTGTCTGTGCAGGGCCAGGAGTTGGACTGGATGATCCTGGTGGGTCCCTTCCAAGTCAGGATAATCTATGTTCTAAATGTTGCCTTGAAATCCTGCTGGCTGTAATTATTGTCTGCTTTACCTTTCTGTACATGAATAATTCCCTGTTTGGGGGTTGGTGTGGGTACTTCTGAAATATCATAAGGGAAGGGAGTTAAATTTTTGTCAGCATTGGCTGGATGGTGAACTTTACCAAAGAGCTCCTCCTTTGCAGCTTCTGCTGGCGTTAACCTGGAAGTGTTCAGGCTTCAAAACATTTTTTGTGGATTCAAATCAGAATATTTTAGTCCTGTGCTGCTACTTCATTTCTTTTTTTCAGGTGTAAAATACAGTGGTGATTATTGAGAATTTTTTTTTTTAATCTTTTGGTGAGAAGGACAAACCTGAAGAAAGTTTGGACAAGTGCAGTAGCAAATTCCAAGGTGTTCTTTTTTTTTTATGGCTGCAGCCTCTTTCTCAGCCAATGTTGCTCTTCTACTCATTTAGGTGGTAGTCTACATTTATAACTACGGCGGATTAGTGGGATTTGGGGAGACCTCCAGGCCTTAGGATGCTGGCCCCATAACCTGCGAGGTGAATGCCCTTCCCCCTGCCCCTGCACGTGGCTCACACAGACCACCAGGGAGGGACGGACCAAAGAGAAAGTTTATTGTGGGGTTGGGGTTTATGAGGCTTTTAGGAGGGTCAAAAGGGGACCAATCACAAGCTCAGGGTCACACAGAAAAAACCATCAGGTAAAGGGTCACCAACCAATAGAAAGGGGTTAACAAGGGACCAATGAGAAACACCTCAGGACACCTTCCCAGGACACCTTCCCAGGACACCTTGTGTGAGACAAGAGCTTCACAGGGGGTGTGGGGAAGAAGGAGACAGTGACACTGCAGAAAATACAAAAAGCCATTTTGAAAACATGTTTAAGCCACAGTAAAAACTTCTGTCTCCATAACGTTTGAGCTGTTTTCCTCACCAATCCATCTCTGACAGGAGTTTTTCCATCCTGCATATGGCAAATCCATTGCCACATATAACAGAGGGGAATTTCCCTTGTATGTTTGATATGTTCTTCTGGAGCTTGGTTGTCAGTCTTTGTGGTTTGGGTCAGTGCTGTGACCAGCAATGGCTTCAGGGACTTGGCTGAGGTAATACTCATTTCAAGCAGTGAAGCCTTTCCATCTTCTGTGTTCTACACCTTAGACTAGTTTAATTTGGGATAGTGGCAAGGGCACCCAGTTCCTCCCTCACTGACCTGTCAATTGGAGTGCTGCTAATGGAATTATTTAGAGACTAATGCGTTCCCATTTTAACATACATGATCAATATAAAAATACAGGATGAGATGAAGTGCTCTAAATGACAAAATCTGCTTAGAGCCCTGCCCTGCTTCAGATACTGTGAAATTCTGCAGCTCCCAGTCCTGGACAAACTGCTGCATGGAAAGAGGTGCTGGATTTTGGAGTGGTACTCTCTACAGCAAGCTGTTTTGCCATGATATTCCGTTGCTGACATGGGGAAGGCAATAAGGTTATATTTTCCTGCTTATGAATCATTGGACACATGGGAATTCTGTTGTTTCTTCCTTGCAGATCACAGAGGCCTTGTTAAAGGAGAGAGATAAGCAAGCAAAATGGAATGGGATTCCCTTGCTGTTGCAGAAGCTGTATGAGCACAGCCACCCAAACAGCGACTTCTCCCAGTGCCAAAGCATCCTAAAGGTACTGCCTGCACTGTCCTTCCTACAGCCAGGCAGGATTTTGTCTGCTGTGATCATTATTTTAACTAATTTTTGAAGCTGTTTGCATGATAATATGTCTGAAAATGGGCTGGTAGATACGAGCTGGGAATGCAGGTAATGATTAGTCAGTAGATCACACAGATCGTGGGAGATAATTGTGTTTATACTGATGAGCAGTTTTCTTCTCCAACCATCTCTTGATTTTTTTTTTTCTTTTTTTTTTTTTTGCTCTCTGCAGGAAATTTCTCCCCTTCTTTCGATGGAAGCCATGGCATATGTTACAGAAGATAGAAAAGCTGCTCAAGAGTCCACTTTCCCAAATACATACACGTTTGACTTATTTGGAGGAGTCGATGTGAGTGCGTTTTTTCAACAATATCAAAACATTTCTGCATGATAATCATACCCCTGAGAAATCTCTTAGACCTTTGAAGCTCCGAAATGCGAGCTACAGAATGACTTCACCAATTTGATGTTAAGCATTGGAGTTGTGCCTGTTTCTGTTAATCAAAATACGAAGGGGGTGTGTTTTTCAGGGTATCACATAAAAATGTGCTTTTTCTTATATGATAAATAGCCAGAAAATCTGGATATTTCTTCACTCAGTCAGTCTTTTTAACTTAAAAAGGTGAGACCTTTAGTTCTCAGTGAAAACAGTTGCAAATGATTCCTGATTGTGAGATGAAATGCTACAGCTGGAACCAGAGCAGTGAGAATTTCACCACTGAGGGAGGTGTGGCAGTTTTTTAAGCACACCAGGACACTCTTAGCCACCTTGTCAGTGTTTATTGCTTCATCTATGGAAAAGTTTTTTTTAAAGAACTGTAAGTTTTCTCTTGACATTCTGGCAATTTATCCTTTTGTTTATTTGCTTTAATTCTACGTTACAGAAATACCCATTTGTTCAGTTTTATGGTGACCGACTCTGGGATCTTGGCTTTCATCAGAAACACATGATTTGTATTTTCTGATGAACTAACTGATACTCTCTTCCTTTTTTTCCCCTTTTTTTATTGTCTAATTAAGCACTTTTTGCTGCTTCTTTCTTGTTACACGTAGCATGCCTTTACTTAAGTAAAACTGATATTTATGTTGAAATGAGGAGTGGTTTAGTTGCCTGTGTGCTGTCGGTTGAGGACAAAAGTCTTCAGCTACCCAAGCAGTTTAGAACACTTTTTCATCTGAAAATGTGCTAAATTTCCCTTGGTTTTAAAGGAAAATAGTGATACTTCCTGTAGGAGTGATTTTAACACACAGAATCTGTGTGTGTTGGGGGTGAGTTGTTTTTTTGCTGGTTGGGGTTTGGTTGGTTTTTTTTCCTCTTGGGCTGGAGATGGCAAAAATCAGATATGCTGTAACTACCTGGTACTGTGGCCAGAGATTTGGCTGATACAGGTGGGTTTAATGTGGTTAAGGGCAGTGATAGAATCCAGTGCTGTGTTGTTGTTTTGTTTTGGTTTTTTTTTTTTTCAAAAATCCTGCTCTAGGGCTTGAAAGGGAATCAGTCTGACCTGCTGGTACTGATTGTTTTGCAGGGAGTAACTCTGAAGGACCCTAAATTTGCAGTGTATTCTCTATGCTATAATGTGTGATAGTATGTTCTTTATAATACTTTTGGATTCTGACAGCTTTTACATCAAGGAAGAACAAAACCACATTGTCCTCCCTTCATATGAATCCATGTAAAATACGACCTGAGAGTGCAAACACATGAACTTGATGAAGCCTCATGGATTTTATACCTGAATGCAACCCCCTTCCAAGAAATAAGATCTTGTAATTCCCCTTCTGTGCCTTCTGCCACACAACATGAAAACACGAACTTTAAAGCATAAAAAAAAATAACCCCCAAACCTTGAGGTGTGAATTCTCCTCCTTAAAACAGGAGCCATTAATATGAGCTCTGCATTACTGCTGCAGTCATTTTTCTCTACTCTATTGATGCTACAATTACTGTTATAAATATTGCTGGAAAATGTATGTTCCTCTTTAAAGTTGCCTATTTATTTGTTTGTCAGTGCTTAAAATGTGGCCTCCAGGTGGCTTCCTCTGTGTCTGGGTGGGTAGTTCATTAAAAGAAGGGCAAAGTTAAGCTGGGACTAAAGAGAGCAAGTAGTAAATTGCAGGTTTATTGATCAGCTGGGTGATGCCTACATTGCTGTTGACAATTTTAAAACTAGAGGCATTTTGCAGTACTTGGGGGAGTTATCAGTTGCTTCTAGTGGTTAACTCTCATTTTTAAATAAACTGCTTATTTTTCAAAATGTTTTAAGATAAACCAGTGGTATAGACTGGAGCAACTAAAGATCAGTTCTACAATTAACAGAACCACAGTCCTGGTCTTGGAAAACTGATTGTTACGTTCCTTAAATAGAAATGAGACGACATCTGTAAATTTATAATAAGTATAGATCAAGGTGATGTACACAAGCAGTGGCTTTTTGTCAGTGAGATTAAAATCTGGAGCAACTAAATTCTGTTATGTCTAGACCTGAAATATGTTTGAAGGCCAGAAAGATTTAGAGAAAACCTTTGCAAAATATGCATTTCTCTGCAGATTATTGCTAAAGATTCCCTATTTTGGGAGATGTGTGACAGCCATTCCTGATTTTATCTGGAGGCATGTGAAAGCACATTCTTTGCAGGCTCAAATTCTTTAAAACTTGCCAGTGGGAGATTATTTTGTACAACCATTACTGTTTCTTCAGGGTAAATGCAACTATTTTCTGTCAATGTGATTTTGACACCAATGAAGTGTTGATTGTAGAGCCTCCATTATTCACCTCTGTGACTTCAGCAGGGACAGGTCTGGGTTTGACTTTGTCACTGGCAAATTAATTGGTATTTGTATCTAAATGATCATTCCTTTAATTCTTTATCTTATCATTACAGCTTTTAGTAGAAATTCTCATGAGACCAACTCTTATTACACAGAAAAAGAAGCAGAAAAGTAAGTAAATTCATGTTTTATCTCTCCCCCCCCAATTTTGCCTTGTGTTCTTATTCAGACAGAAATTGTTCTGTTTTTCTGTTATTCTCTTTCCATACCAGCAATTTCCTGTTGATTCATTTAGGAATGAATCATTGGTCTCTTTGTTCTCCGTGGTACTGATTCGTGCTGGGATTTGGGATAGTCACCTGTTGGGATAGTCACACGGCTCCAGAGGGTTCATACACTCAGCACAACATCCCTCACTCAAAGAACTAAATCTGCAATCAGTGGAAACTCTTGTTGCTACTGTGGCTACAGCTACAGTGAGCAATTTTTAATAATAAGCCACAAAACATTGTTTATGTAATAGGAGCTACAGAGATTGTGAGATAAAAAGTGTGCTGTTCTCCTGACTCACTTCCACATTGCTGTGAGGAGAACTTTGCCAAGGGGGTGCAGTGGCTTCAGCACAACTTTCCTGCTGGAGCAGCTTTGCTTCAGTGTTTTCATTTGCCCTGTTTGTGACTCTGCTGGTTCCCTGAGCCCTTGTGAGGAGAGGGAATGTCCTGGTGCACTCTGTGCCCGTCAGCCAGGGAACTTCAAAGGTGACATGGCTTGAACTTGAGCTAGAGGCAGCTGTTGTAGGGCTGTACTGAAAACATATTTTAAATATTAAAATGTGCAGTGAATCAGATGGAAAGCTGTTCTTATGAAGTCCAGGTGCTGTGTGGAGAACACTACGTGAACTGTCCTTATTTTTTTTTCCCCCATACTAAATAATTTCACATGTGAACAGGTCAGGTAAAGACTTAGAGAATCATAGAATGGTTTGGGCTGGAAGGGACCTTAAAGATCATCCATTCCACCCCCTGCCATGGGCAGGGACACCTTCCACTAGCCCAGGTTGCTCCAAGCCCCATCTAGTCTGGCCTTGGACACTTCCAGGGATGGGGGAACCACAGCTTCTCTGGGCAACCTGTGCCAGGGCCTCCCCACCCTCACAGGGAAGGATTTCTCTCCAATATCCCATCTAACCCTGGCAGTTTGAGTCCTTCTTCCAGTTTCTATCCTCCAAGGCATTTGCACGTGTGATCTGAGGTAGCAGCCTGCAATTCCCCTCCATTTTATGGCTTTCCATGGCACTCCTTGGCATTGGTGTCCCTTGGCAGCCTGTGGCTGGTGACTGACTGTTCTCTCCTTTGCAGTAAGTGATGACCTCATCAAGGACTGTCTCAGCATACTGTACAACACGTGTCTGTGTGTAAGTACAACTGCTGCAAAAGTCTTCTGCTGGTCTCTTTTTACAGGTGCCACTTGATAAGACAATATACAGACTCTTAAGTGTAATTTAAACTTACTCTGAAGCTTTATGTGAAAATTCCTTCAGTTCAATACAGGACTGCCCTGTATTTTGGTGTGTTACACAGTTTCTTAGTCAAGTTTAAATCCTCTGGTTTGGATCTTTCTGTCTCTGTGTTTCAGTAGGAAAGCCATGCCAGCCTTTGTCGAGTTCCATCTTAGAATTTGAAACTGGAAATAGATCCCTGTTAACCCCAGCTGCAGCTAGTCTTGTTCAGAACTGGTGCTGGCCCAGTGTTTTAAGTTTGATCCTGCAATTCCTTCATGTTCTGGGTATCAGTTTAGTTCAGCTCTGTGGATGGCAGAGCAGCACTAAGGAAGGTGCTGGGTTAAAGGCCTGTGGAAATACCTTGTCATTAAAATTCTGAAGCTAAAAGCACAGGCTCCAATTATGCATGCAGGGAACATCCTCAGGATTGTTTACTTCATCACACACTTCATTATGCCATAACCCAGGGAATGTTGTTTAACAAAAATTTAAAAAAAAGAGAGGCGGTTGATGGCTCTTCTGAAGACATCAGCCTGATCTCCAGAGTCTTACACAGTCATGTCTCACTGCTGAAGATCTGCACACATGGGAGGGGAAAGAGAAAGGATGCTTTTTTCTTGGCTTAGATGATTTATTTTTTTAGCTACAGGTAATGCTACTTCTGCAAACTGTGAAAGAAGCAAGTTTGCAATTTTTAGAGTAGCTGCTGTTTTAATTCACTCTGGTATTACTGCTGTCTCTTGAATGAGAAGTGTGCAGGATCACAGAAATGGTATGTGTGCAATATTAATGTGTAGATACTGAGGAACTGTCTAAGCCAGTGTAGGTCTGTGAGCACTGGTGATATGCCAGTCACACAGAGCAGACAGCTTTGCAGGCAGTGAGGAGGCAGTTTTAAGTTCCAGGGAAGCCTGGCTGTGCTCTCAGCAGAGCTCAGAGCATGAAAGTTGTCTGTAATGATTAGAGCATGAAAGCCAGTCTTAAATTCAGTGCTGAACTCAAGTTCAGGCCTCAGTGTGACTTTTGGGTTCATCACCAGGTTCATTTAGGCCAGTGCTGCATTTGGGTGGCTCAAACTGAGAGCGGTGCTGAGGTTTGAGGAGTGGCTGCATTTGCATATCAGGGCATGGAGCTGGTGACAGTTTGTATGGGGAAGCAGAGACAAGCCTCTCTGGAGTGCTGCCAGGCAGGCAGTGTTTAGTTTGGATTCAGGCAAGTAAACAACTCTGAGGTGAAGCCTCTCGTCACGGAGCCTGTCGGTTTTGCAGGCTCCTGTTACCTTCAGACAAGGACTGGGGTTGGTTTTGGTGGCCATAAACCCAGCTTTTCCTGGTGCCAGGAGTAGCTGGGTCAGTAACACCATCTGTAGGGCTGTGTCCTGCGTGTGCTGTGAGATGTGGCTTCTCAGGGTGGGCTCTGATGGGTCTGTGCTGGTTTGCAGACGGAAGGAGTCACGAGGCGACTGGCAGAAAGAAACGACTTTGTGTTGTTCCTGTTTACACTGATGACAAACAAAAAGACATTCCTACAAACTGCAACGCTCATTGAAGATATCCTGGGAGTTAAAAAGGTTAGTTACTGGTTTCTTTGCTTTATTTGTATGGCTCTTCAGGCCAGTAGAGGAAAGAGCTGTTGCTTTGAAGAGTCGCTGAGGATAGTCCTCTTAAGCTGCCAGTCCCACTTGTAGTTTATTTGAAACCTGACTGTTGACAGTGATCATTAACTTCAGTCATCTCATAGAGAAGCCACACTATTGATGTGGAGTCATCCTTGCAATGCTTTTCCATAGCTCAGAGGATGATGGGAGGTGAACACCCACCATCTGAGTACCTCACTGTCATTAAAGTACAGCCAGTGTTTCAAATAAAGGAAATGAACCTCATATAAATTAATTTTTCATCCTTGCCTTCTGATTACACTTCACACATTATACTTGTCTTCATGACATCTGGAAGGGCCTCCTGTCCTTCTCTCTTACCTTGGGCTTTGTCACCTCTCAAACAAGTTGTAGGCTGGGGAAACAGGACACTTTTCTTCTGCACAGACTGGGGTTGTTTTTTTAACTATTTGCCATCATCATTACAGCTGAGTTCTCTGATGTGATGCAAATAAAATATTAATGGTGTAATCCTGGGAAAACCCTGAATGAACAGTGCCTATGTACATTTTGTGGAGAGAGTCAGGAGTCTGTAACTTGATACTTTTTTACTTAGAGTAAGGTTGAGGTGGATGTACTTCCTGAAATAAGTGGGAAACAAGCTTAGTTTATCTGAACAAAAATGGTGTTTTTCTGACAAACGTTTTCAGCCTCTTTTTATTAAAAAGATCTTTTGATGAAAAAACTGAAAAGTAATCTGAAAGGTGATTCTTATCTGTGAGTTTCAAAGAAAATACAGAAGTGGAAAACAAAATTGAAACTTTTAATACCCAAACATAATTTATGTATTAAATTGGTTTGTGGGGTTTTTTAGTTAAAAAAGGCCCCCAAATTTTATGCAAACATCTAGTCTTTAAAATATGGATGTCTGTACAGCAGGTGTAAATCCCAGCTGCTTTCAGACTCTTCACTTGCTTCTCCTTTCTTAATATTGGAATAACCCACAGAGCTCCCCAGGGAGGATCTTGTGTCTGTGTTCACTTATTGAACGTCACATGTGACTCAGTTGGTGTTGCCTTCTCCAGGAAATGATCCAGCTGGATGATATTCCCAACCTGGCCAGCCTTGTGTCCAGCTTTGACCAGCAGCAGCTGGCAAACTTCTGCAGGATCCTGGCTGTCACCATTTCTGAGCTCGACACGGGCAGTGATGACAAGCACACACTTCTTGCCAAAAATGCCCAGCAGAAAAAAAACCTGGGTCCTTCTCGAGCTGAGATTAATCAAGGTAATTGTTACACTGTGAACAAATCACAGGAATCTCCATAGTAATCTCAATTTTCCCCTTTTCAATGTCACTTATGTTTCTGGAGGATACTGAAAGTGTTGTGTGTTGCAGAGCATTTTTCTTTATTTTCTTTATCCCTCAGGAAACAGTCTTTCCTGTTAATGAACTTTACTTTGTAGCTTTTGGGTTGATATGGTGTTGCTAATTAGGTGGGTTAATTTCTGTCATTTCAGCACTCTCTGATGAACTGAGTGGCTTAAAATAATTGGATTTGCTTTCTATGCCTCAGTCATGTCCATGGCAACTCTTGGTAATTCTGTGTCCTCCTTAAAAGACCGATTTCTGAACTAAAATTGTGTGCAGCGTGGTTGCTGTTGGAGCAGTTCCTCTCTGATTTTATCTGCTGTTGTGTTGAGCAGGATGTCTGTCTTTGTCAACAAGGAAATTGTGTTTAATGTTAGTTATGTTGCCCGCTGTTACCAAAGCAGCCTTGGAAATCTGTGGGTCTCATCTCAGCTTTAACTTAGGGCACAGTGTAGGTTTCCTTATTTTGCTGAGTGCTTCTCAAGTGCAAAAGCCTTGCCTAGAAGGATGAGTAGGAATTGGAAAAGTTAAACTGAAGTACCCTCAAATGTAGAATCTGCTGTTTTCAGCTCTTACTGTGCTGAAAAGCATTTGAGCTTCTGAAGCAGATGTGAGAACTGCATCCAGTGAGAGGTGAGTAGCATAATACAGCAGCTGAGAAACTTTAAAGGGAAGGGTGTATTTTCTACCCTGGCATAGCCAGAATTCTCTTGTGAAGAGCAGTGGACAAGTATGGGTAGATGTGGGTACTAAGTTTAATTTAAATCAGTTGAACTTAATAAGCTTGGATCCCCCAGAGCTGAACTTAGCCAAGCAAATGTTTAACTAATCATTTTTTGTGTGCACAATTAGAGACTGATTCTGAGATTGTAAAATATATTCTACTTTAAAAATTTTATCAGGGAGCTTATCCTTTCAAAGATCAAACTCTTTCTTATAATGTTAATGGCCAAATTCTTTGTCTTTTTCCACTTGAATCTGCAAGTGTGTAGTGAAGTGAAGCCTTAGCTATGTATCTTTAATAAACAGGTCCTGTAATTAAGTTATTCTGTGAAAACTTGAGGGCAAAATGCAGCTCTCCAAGCATTTTGCAAAGCAGTGACTTCTGTCCTTGCCCTGCTCCTTCTAAGGGTGCAGTTTCACCATTAAAAGCCTCAAACCTGGGGCTGCTCTGGTGTATTCCCCATCTGTTTTGCTCCTTGATGATCTAATTCAGGAAACCATTACTTAAAAAGCTGAGGGCTTTCCTCCCAGCTATTCCAGTGAGCCAGTTCAGTTTGCTACGAGACAAACACCACGGGAGGGAAAACGAAGGAGGAGCATCACACAGAGGAAAGGGGGTGTGGAGCTGCCCATTCCAAGGGCTGCTGCTTCATTTCTGCCAGCTTAATTTTCAGCCAGATCAGTTCCTCGATATTGAGTCACTGTGGACTGGAAAACAGCACTGAATTATTCCTGGGATATGAAACTCTCTTCCAGTCCTTAATAGGAGGCTGCACTGACTTCTTCCATCTTTGGATCTTTTTGACCAGATCTTTTTAACCATACTCTTCTGTATCCCTCATGTAGATGTTTTGGTACCTTGTGGCGTGGAGGATTTGATGACTGCTGTGTTGATCTTAAATAGGAATAAAGTTATTTTCCTTTTTTTTTTTTTTTCCAGCTACACTTCTGAATATTCCAGGCTTCATAGAGCGATTGTGCAAACTGGCAACACGGAAAGTGTCTGAAACCACAGGTACCTCCAGCTTCCTGCAGGAGCTGGAGGAGTGGTACACCTGGCTGGACAATGCACTGGTTCTGGATGCACTGATGAGAGTGGCAAATGAAGAGGCAGAGCAGAGCAGTACAGGTACCTGGCTTGCATTCCTTCAGCTGGTGTTCATCCTAACCTTCTTCAGGGTTTGCCACGTGTTGCTTCTCCTTTCAACCAGAAATATCAGCAGTTAGGTCTTATTCCCAGTTTGTTCTCATGTAGCAGTGATTTTTTTTTTTCCTGATTAAAGTTAGCAGAATAGGTAGGAAATGTCCTTCAGCAGTCTGTGCCCTTTGCATGCCTAGATAACCCTGTAATGCTGTACATCCTCAGCACTAATCTCCCTGCAGAGGCAAAACAACCCTTCTGAGGTGAGTGACTTCACCAGCATTTTCCTCTAAAACTTTGGCTGATGGCTTTGGGTCCCAATGCTTCATACCAAGTAAGTGGCCCCTTCTTTAAAAAGGCAATCTAGTTGCAGCAAAATGGAGTAAGTAATTGAAGAAAAATAATTATTCCAGTTAATACAACCGTAGGAAAATGCTTTGAAGCACATGTGTGGTTTGTTTCTTCACCCTCTGGTATTACAAAAATGCAGGGTATGTCTTGTAAAACTCAAAGTACTTAGTACTCCTGTTTCTGCCCTTAGCAGGGTAATTCTGCATAGGGTTATGAAAATTATTTAACTGTGGCCTAAGAATACTGGTCCTGAGGTATGAAGTGAAAGTATATCAATAGTAAATGCTTCTGATCTCTCATCCCTGCTTTCATTACCTTTTCTGCCATGTCCTGGTGCAGTAGTCTATTAATTCATTTAGGTGAGCCTACTTATTTTAGGTCATTGAGCTTATGATGGACAATCAATTTTTAAAAACTTATCTCTAAATTGCCAGCTATATTTTTTTTTCTCTTCTGTGATTTAAACTGGTTATTTGCTGTACATCACTGGTTTTAGCTGAGAGGAAGATTCAAGCAGAGGGGCTGGTCCTACACCTGCAGTGTTGGGTGTAAAAGTAATAACTGTAACAAATCCTTGCTGTTGAAGCTGCCTCAGGCTCACATTTTTGCCATCTTGTTCAGAGTCTTCAGATGAAAGTGGGTTGGCCAACAGCTCAACACGGACACAGCTCCCACAGTCCATGAAGATCATGCACGAGATCATGTACAAGCTGGAGGTGTTGTACGTTCTCTGTGTGCTGCTCATGGGGAGGCAGAGGAATCAGGTGAGCCCTGGGACGTGGTCACACAGGCAGCTGATGTCCCTTTGAACCTGAGTGCTCATTAATTAGGTCTGGGCACAGAAACACGGAGGGCAGAGCTGAAGGCACAAAGCTGGGCAGAGCCCATCCTGGCAGCCGTGCCCGGACACACAGGAAGTGTTCCACTGGGAAACAGGGCTGGGCACAAGGGTGGGGGTCCAGTCCCCCCAGAGCTGCTGCTCTGGTGCAGGATGGATGCAGGAGGATGTCTCCTGCATGGGGATCCTGTCCCTCTGTGTGAGGAAGTGTGTGGGTGTACCTGGATGCTACAGGAGCCAGACCTTCTTACCCCCTCCTGGTGACCTGTTTGGATGGAGCCTCTTTCTACCTTCCCCTTCTTTGGCTGCTTTCAATTTTGGAAACTCTCTGGCGTGGTGTGAGTGGGTGATTTTTGCAGCAGATTCCCATGTCTTGGCTGAGTGTGAGCAAATTTTAAACTCTGAGCTGAGAGAATGCACTTCAGTGCTGTCTGCACTGATCACTGCCTGGTAACCCCACTCATCTGTTCCTTTTGCCTTTCTTCCTTTTGAAATGAAAAAAAAAATTATTCCCAGCCTCACACAGGCTTATGGAGAACCAGTCCCTGCAGCCTGGCTGTGGTTTGATTTAAATGGGTCAAAAGCATGTTGTGCAGGGAAAAGAAAAGCAGTCCTTGGTGCAGTTTTGACAGGTTTCCAGCTTTGTCAGTCTGCTCAGCTCAGCAGAGCAGCTCGGGACAGCAGGGACATTCACATGCCCTGGAGACTGGGAGGCCAAATTGGTGTGAATGGAAGGGACTGGGAGGGCCAGATTGGTGTGAGTTGTTGAGGGGCTGTTGTATTGGGTAAGAGTGGCTGTGTTGGGGGGCAGTTGCTTGAGCACATTTATCTTGAGTATTTTGGCCTTTGCTGGTGACCTCCCACTGAATCAAAGTCACAAACACTCGCCAGTCTCTTAAATCTCTTGATCTGAATTTAAAATAGAAGTGCAGTTGTAGTGCAGTCCCAAACATAACTGATCTGTTCACTCTGAACCTACAGAAGTGGTTGTGGACTCCCCATCCCTGGGAGTGTCCAAGGCCAGCTTGGATGGGATTTAGAGCAGCCTGGTCTAGTGGGAGGTGTCCCTGCCCATGGTGGGGGGTGGAACTGGATGATCTTTAAGGTCCCTTCCAACCCAAACCATTCAAGTGGATACTTGGCATTAAAAATAAATAAATTCTCTATAAGAGGGGACTAGCAATTGTTGCAGAAACCACAATCACTACCATAAGCAACTGTTGTCATTCCTTTTAGAAATGCTGTTTCCGTTGGGCATAAAATAAAATTTAAACAAAGCCCAGACGTAACTGGAACTACCAGAACGTGGATCCGTTAGGAGGACTTTTTTTTTCCATTGTGTCAAGCCAGATAATTCATTGCTGCCTGATTTCACCACAGGAATGCAGTTTTATAGATACTGCAGAAACAGCTTGCAGCTTGCACTCATTCTGCTGCCACTGCTTCAAGGAGCTGGATTCCTTCCCTCCCTGGGTCAGCTCCAGTGTGTTCCTGTCAGATATGACAAGGCAGAAAATATGCTGCTGAAACAGCCAGCTTTGAAGCTGAATTTATTTTTTAATTTCCTGAGAAAACAACTCTTTATCCTTCATCTGCTTTCTCTGCCCCCATGCAAATGTTAAAACTAAGGATAAAGCTGGCATGCAGTTCACCTCCTCCCCAGGACTGATACAGGGGGACTGGAATTGAACTCTTGAAAGATTTGAGTTACTTCATTCCCAAATACTTCTGGTGAAATCCTTTGCCTTTGAAACACATAATATATCCTTCATTCCTTCATCTGCATAAAACTTGTGTGGCAGATGTGAATCCAGTTTCCCTTCCTGAGCCAGGCAGATGAAAACTGGAGCTGAGCTGTTCTCCATGGAAAGCTCCAGAGTGAGGGACAGCAGTGCCTGCAGTACCACACTCACTGGCAAGCATTGCAGCTGCTTGGTGGTGTCCCTTCTCTACGAGGGAATAAAAGCACAGGATCTGTGATTCCAGTCTGAGCAGCCAAAGGACTTACTGGTTTTAGGTTGGATTCATTTTGCACGGAATTTCTAAAGGGCATCACAAACCTACTTCAGTCCACCACAACAAGCAACAAAATGGTCTGGTGTTTGCTTGAGGCACTGTGCAGCTTCCCAGACTCAACCAGTTTACTCTAAATCCTTGGTGTGAACTTGATTGCTGGCTGATTTGCATAAATTGATAACTGTGGTGGCAGTGACTTGGCTCTGCCTGCTGCCACCTCGGGGGTGAGCTCACCCTTGGGGATAAGTGGTGTTTCTCTCAGACCTGTGCCTTTGCTTCCTTCTCATTATGGTCACACCCTAAATTACTCTCCTTTTATATGTTTCTGGGCTGTCCTGCATGTCTGTGTTGGGGTGAAAAGCCATCAGGTGATTTGCTTGCTCCTGTTGTAAGGAGCCACACTGCACACAGCAGAACCTCACGTTTTAGTGGTGAGAAAGCACTAGGCCAATTCGTGTGAAGGTGGGCAGCAGTAGGAAAAAATCCAAGGAGTTTGAAGGGTAAATATAGAGCAGGGATTGCCTTGGCATCCCCAGGTAGTTGTAATGAGTTTGAGGTCTGGGACAGAGTGTGATACAAAGGCAGTGACTGTCATGCAGCTCCTGTAAGGTGAGAGCTTTAGAGCTGAGCAAACTAAAAGTGAACAAGACACATTTGAAATTAGGGATGAGTCATTTAGAGGGAGCAGACTCAGGAATTAAAACTAGGAATATGGAGAGCTTTTCCTGTGGTGAGGGCTGAGGCTCTTGCAGGCAGCTCACCCACTTGGCTTCCTCCTGTTGTGCCTGTGCCACGCTGGCCGTGGAGGGACAGGGAGAATACAGGGAGCTCTTTGTTTGGAGAGATTCCTCAGAGCTGGTTTTGTTGGAGGCTTGTGTCCAATAGCATTTTAAAATACTGGAGCACTAGAGGACTCCAAGCTTTGCAATCTCTCAGGTAGGATGGGTGAGATAGGAAGGAGTTGGATGTGATACTTGGCATGTCCAGCAGCAGGAATGTGATTTCCACAGAGATGGGGCAGCTGGGGGCTACAGCCAGGAGGAATGCAAAAAGGCCATCAGCTATGATGCAAGTAAGGCTGAGAGAATGAAAACCTGTAAAACAGCATCAGGTTTAACTATTTTGGATTCATTCAGGTGTTTGAGTAGATGGAACAAATCTGAGTGACCTGCTGGAAATGCTGCTGGTTATAATGCTGCATCCTGGGGACAACCTGGGCTACTGTTAAGTGATTTTGTTTATTGGTTTTAAGGAATATGTCCATTACTGCATTGGGCACTTAATTTTTGCAGCATGTTGGGCTTCCCAGTCGTGTGGTTTCCATTTGCAACCACATCTCAAGGAATACTGCTTATCCTAGGCCTACAGTTGATGAGAGTCCCACTTTGTATTTCCCTTACTCCTCATCTTCCAAATTGCTTACATCAAAAGTCTCACAGCTTGGACTGAAGGTATTTAACAGCTGCTCACACCAACATTAGGTGCTTTTTTTACATGAGTAACTCTGTTTCAAACACATCATGATGTGCTGTGTCCCAGCTTGGCAGGCAGACTGATAAATAAACCCAAGTATTTTAGCATTTTCTTCTCTCCTGATCATTCTGTAAAGAATTCAACTTCTCCCTAACCTGAAGGAGTTAGACACTTGCTCTTTGATACAACAATTCTCCTTCTGTTGGCAGAGAATGACAGAATTGTGCCCATCTGTTTCCAGACCACGTTATATCCGTGTTTGAGGATGCAGCAAATGACTTTGTACCTCTCTTTTTTTTTCCCCAGGTTCATAAAATGATTGCAGAGTTCAGGCTCATTCCTGGCCTCAATAACTTGTTTGACAAACTGATCTGGAGAAAGCATTCAGCATCAGCCCTGGTTCTGCATGGACACAACCAAAATTGTGATTGCAGCCCAGTGAGTAACTCCTAGAATTCTGTGTTGGGTTGTTATCCTGTCATACAGTCCTCAGGAGTTGTGCTGAGGAACTGGGTGCTTCTCTAATCCACACCTTGGGATGTGGCAGCATTCGGTTTCTTGGCAATTATTGTTTTCACTGAAGTCTTTGGCTTGTGCCATCAATTTAGCAGGGACAATTTAGCCTCTCCTCTCTCCTAGTTTGGGAACTGGGAAAGGGGGTAAATTGGTGGACCCTGGAAGCCAGAGGCAGAAGATAACCAAAACTTAAGGAAATGATAACTAGGAAGAGCACAGAATACAAATTGGGTCACAGTCAGGTTTAGGGGGGTTGAGTTTTTTATTGGATTCTTTTACTGTTTTTTGTTCCCTCCAAATGTAGATATTCTGAATTGATCAATACAGTGATGAGCTTTTCTGCCTTTGCAGTGAGAAGAAATTAGTAATTTTATAGGCTTGGAGCAGTCTCCACTTCTGTTCTATTTTGGGAAGCCTGCAAAGTGCAGCCTTCCCCTTTATGCAAGTCACTTGCTCTGCTGACCTGAGGGCTTTGATTTGGAAAGGTTTTTTATTCAGCTTGGTAACTAATGATATCCAGAAACCCTAAAGCAATTTTTTTTTTTTTTTTACTTTTCTTGTCTCTTTTTAGGACATTACTTTAAAGATACAGTTCTTGAGGCTTCTTCAGAGCTTCAGTGATCACCATGAGTGAGTATGAGAAGTTGTGGTGGGTTGTGGCTCGTTGGTGTTTGCCTGGTTGCAATTCCAGGTGTCCTGAGCACAGGGCAGGCTCCACGTGAAGGGAATGTTGTCCTGTCCTTAATTCAGATTTCAGGTGCTTTTCACTCCTGCTGTGAGCAGCCTAAGGCTCTGCTCTCCAGTGGGCATGTCTTAATATGCCTGTTGATACTTGAATCCAGCCCATTTTGCTTCATGTTGAAATGTGCTGGAACGTGTCTGTGATGAGTGAACACTTTCTGGCTGAGGAAATAAGGAGGCAGCTTTCATGGTGTTGTTTATCTGCCTTCTCCCCAAGAGCTGGTAGTGAGCCAGTGGGAATAGGGAGGAAGCTTCTGCCTGCCTTCCAAAGGCATCCTTAAGAAACTTGAGGCTGCTGGAGTTTGAGGGGTTTGCTTGGGGGTTTTTCCATGCTGTGCTGCTGGTACAGATGTAATTCTTGCTCTGTTCTGACTTGTGGAATTGCATCTTTCGTTCCATCAGTGTCCTGTTGCTCTGATCCAGTCCTGTGAGATGGTGTCCACTGCTTACAAACCTCTGTGTTTGAGGCATGTTGTACTTGAGGTGCTGGTCATATCCACAGCCAGGATGATATTTTTGTGCAGGTTTCATCTAGTACTATTGGACATATTGGAAGTATCAGCCTTTTTGATTGTGGAGTTTTAGCTTTGAGAATGGGAAGCTGCTGGACAGGCATAAAGGGAAGGCTGACCTGTTGTAAATCCTCCAGGCAAGACATTGTTTGCCCAGGAATCACTCCAGGTTTTCCAATAAAATCTCTTTAGATGATATTCCTACTTAAGTGGCTGCTACAAAGATCTCAGGCTTGTTCAAACAGGAAACAGCTCCCAGCTGTAACCTCAGAGCAGGTGGAATGTGTGGAATCTGGTTAAGGGTTTTAAACAAATGATGACACAAACTTTCTATGAAATCACAGATTAGCTGAGGACAAGATGAGAGCAAGTACTTGTGCACTAATATTAATTTCAGTAAAATTGTGTCTAAGCCAGACTTGCAGAACTGTTTGTTGCAGGGAGAGAAGGGCTGTGTTCTCCTTGCAGAAACCTGATAATCCACATCAAAGGAAGCTTTACATGAGAACCTCAGTGGGCACTAATCTGGCTGATGGTGTTTGAAACAAGGAGACACTCAGTCCCCTTGGGTCTAATAATTTTTCTTCCATGTAGTTGCTGGTTTGATGAGTAGTTTCTTTTTGCTCACTCATCCTGTGCTCCCTGAGGTTTCCTGAAAATAAATCTGTGCAGTGTGATTCTGAGCACTTTGAAGTAGGAAGATGCTGGCATTGGGCAGGGAGTGTGGCAAAGGGAGCCCCTGGACTAATTTTTACTCTTGTCAGACTTGTTCTGCATTTAATTTACTTTACAGATGAAATAATTCGTTTTTGTTATGCAAAATTCAGTATTTGATAAAGAATTTCCTTCAAATTCCTGAGGTTTATATCCATTACTGTTCTGATCTCTACATTTCATGATGTTTTTAAATATTGCCAGAGTGAAGTTTGCTGAGAGCAGTAAAGTACAAGGATGATTGAGTGCTTTTTTGCAGCTTCTGCTTTCTGAGACTGATTACTGATAAAGAGCAGTATGATAAAGCAGAGAAAAACTGTGGGAAGGTGTGAAAAAGTTTGCTATTTAAGTCTTCTGAAATTCGGCAGAATGTTGCTGAGATTTTAAAAAACAAGAAGAAAATAATTACAAACCATAAGATTTTTGAACAAGTCAGCAGAGAACCATCATCTTAAAGCTGGTCAGTGCTAAAGCTGGAATTTGGTGAATTTTGGAGGAGCTTCACCAAACAGCAGCTGTCTGGCCTGGGGGAGGGAGTGGGGTGGGAATGCTGTGAAGAGCAGCCAGGTGAGAGAGGATTACCCAGCCCTGCAGCCCTGTGGCTTTACTTCTCATGGAATTGCATGTTTGCCCCTGGAATTCATCCTGTTTTTCTCCCCTGCTGTCTTGCTTTAGGAACAAGTATCTCCTCCTGAACAGCCAGGAACTGAATGAGCTGAGTGCAATCTCCCACAAAGCCAACATCCCTGAAGTTGATGCAGTTGTCAACACTGACAGGTGAGAGGGAATAGAGGGCTTTGGGCAGCAATTTAGGAGGTTTTGAAGCATCTCTGTTGGAGGTTTGATGTCCTCTGTTCTGTTTGAGGTCCATCTGTCCACCACAGATTTAATTTCAGTGATGCATTTCAGCAGGAAGTGTCCAGGTTTGTGTGGTATTGATGGCTATTAGCAAATCTAAAGAGTGCTCATGCTCAGAGTAAAGTGTTTTAAAAGCAAAAGCAACCTTAAGGAAAGCCCAAAATGGGGAGGTTTGAGTTCATGGCCCAGATTTTATTATGTTATTCTAGTTCTGACTGTTTGTCTGGCCTTGTACAGCAGGCATTGCAGACAGACCTGGAAAGTAAACCCTGATCCCTCTAATCCATTAATTGCTCCTGCTAATAAATCTTAGGTTTGAGATTCAGGAGCAGTCTGTGCACACATAATGTCCATTTCCAGGCTGTTTGAACAGATCCAGGTGTCTGCTCAGAGTATTTTAAGAGCAGCTAATAAACAGAATGAGCTAAATTAGATTAACACGTTAAACCACTTACAGAATCTCTGGTGTTACATTGGAGTATCTGTTAGATTGACTGTTTTGATTCAATAAGCTCTTTAACACACAATTCTGGTGTACAAACCTCACCAGGTGGAACACAGTTTGCAGAATTGAGTTGTCAGAATATTCCCAGAGTTTCAGCAGGGACTTGGGCTGCACAGAGCAGATTTACCTCGCTCCAAAAGGGAATCCTCTAAGAGGATTTCCAGATTATAATTATTATTATCATAATACTGTGTCTAATTGGGAAGAACTTGAGGGGTTTTTACAGCTTCAGCATTTAGTTTCCATGTTGCTTTTCTTGAAATGAGAGGTCAAGGCATTGCTTCTGCACAAGGTGGAAACTCCACTGAAGATGTTTAATACAATTAGTGTTGCAGTTGTACAGCCTCTATACTTTTACTACACCATACAGAACAAGGTTGTCTCATGTAGCATCCAGGTTTCCATACTCTGCTCTGCCTCCTAAGTGGGATTTAAAGCTTCCTTGTTGAGCAAACTGTGTGTTTTTCATTCCTAAGATCAAATATGGTGGGTTTTTTTCCTAATATTTTCATTTCTGCAAGCTATGAATTGGTATTTCTGAAATATTAACGATTTGAGAGAAAATGAATAGTTTTTCTTTAGGATTTATTTGGAAGTCACGTTGCAGGTGTTGCAGACATTTACCAAAGGCAGTGAGGGGAACCCTTCTGCTGGTAGAACTGGCAGAAGTACCATATACTTAATACTGAGATTTTGATCACCAAAAGCTCTGGAGCAGAGACTGGATTCAGTATTTTGTAAGGTACAGCATTTGCCAGCCCTTCCACTCATGCTGTCATTCCTTCACCTGCTCCAGGAGTCTTGTCTGTGATGGGAAGAGAGGTTTGTTGACCAGGCTGCTTCAGGTCATGAAGAAGGAACCAGCTGAGTCCTCTTTCAGGTGGGTTCACTCTGCACTCTGATGTGCTGTTTGAGATCCCTGGGATGTAGCCTTGGTTTCATACAGTTTATTTCAGCTGGGAATGCTTGAGAATCATAATCTGGGGAAAGGCCTGGCTTTGCTGTGCTGTGGTGGCAGTGCAGGTGAGGGAGAACACCAGAGCTTGCCCTGCACTCCTACCAGCATGGCCAGGGACAGGTCTGACTCCATTGTCATGAGACAGATCAGGAAACTGGGTTGAAATTACAGATATAATAAAGTACTGCCCTTGCTCCAAAATCAGCACCTCATTTCTTCTACTTCTCAGGTTTTGGCAGGCAAGGGCAGTTGAAAGTTTCCTTCGAGGCACCACCTCCTATGCAGACCAGATGTTCCTGCTCAAGAGAGGACTCCTGGAGGTAAGGAACTCTATGTCAAGCATCCTCCATAGCAATCAAGAGGGATTTATCTGCAGTGAATTCAAAAGTGGGTAAAAATGTTAAACATTCTCTGGGAATACTTTTGGAAAGCATCTGTGAATTGTACTTGTGGTGGCCAGTTGTATAACCTGCATCAGTGGGAAGTTATTTTAACAGGAGACTCACCTGAATTGTTGTCTTTAGTTCAGTCATCCAAGAACTGAACCTGCAGATGAATGCTCTAAATAGTGGTTAAACCAGATCTGTGTTGTGCTGCTGGCTTGGCCTGAGCTGTGGCAATAACATGTTTTCCTCCCCTGCCAGCATATTCTGTACTGCATCGTTGACAGCGAGTGCAAATCACGGGATGTGCTCCAGAGTTACTTTGACCTTCTGGGAGAACTGATGAAATTCAATATTGATGCGTTCAAGAGGTTCAACAAGTACATCAACACAGATGAGAAGGTAAATATTTGTAAAAGCTGTCCCCTGAGGGTCAAATTACAAACTTTTATAGCCGGAGGTAGCACTAAAACTCAGATTCATTTGGTTTTGGTGTGGTTGGTGAGCTTGGGGCACAATAAACATTAAGGGGTGAGCTGCCAAAGTCTCTGCACAGGCAGGTGAGTTGCTGCACACACTCAGTTCTCAGCAGTGCTCCTGCTGTCCTGAGTCAGCAAGTGCTGAGCTGTTCAGAAAACACTGCCCTGTTACATGATCAGGCAGGTCTAAGGTCAGGGCTCAAGGATGGCACAGCATTTCCTGGGAAGCCTCTGAGTTTTGAGTTAAGCTGATAGTTCTGGACATTGGGACAGCTCCAAAAAGTCTTTTACTGGAGCTTGCAGTTCTTATGGACGTGGATTCAAATATTAATATTTGATGCTGCAAAAAGATGTCATATCCTTGATGTTATTTGAACTCACAGCCATTTTAAGAAGTCATGGCTGATGTAATTACCTATAAAACTGAGTTGCACATGTAAATCAAGGATGGGCAGCTCTGTGCAAAGTGGTTTCATGCTCTTGTGCACTTTGTACATATAACATCAGTTGTTGGGTAGGTTCTGAATGACCTCATATTCTTGCTTTTGTTACTGTAATTTTTCCCTCATTGCTCTTAGGTCTGGCAGACCTTGGAGAATGGGAAGTATAAATGTATTTTAAAAGAAAGTTGTATTTAATTTTGGTTTTTTTCTCTAGTAAATGAACTCCTACGTTCTAGAGAATGTCTTTAGACTTCATATGTGCTTCCTATTTATTGATCTATAACTGAGTTTAGTTCTCATTCTGTGTGACTCCCTCATTGTATTTATTCCTCCCTAGGACTGCCTGTATAAAGTAAGTGTAGGAAAACATGGAGCTGGAGGAATTAGAGGCCAGCAGCCAATGCTGTCCAGTCTCCCTCTTTCAAAACAAAGAGTGTATGAAATCTTGCTCTCGTTGGAGTGGGACTTCACAAAATATTTTAGGAATGCCAGGACTCTGACATTTTTCTGTTCCACAGTGATTTTAAGGCCCTTGCTGTAGGGATCCTTTGGTCAGCCCTCGGTGCCAGTGTTGGGCTGGATGAGGCAGATGTATTTTGTTAGAGATGACAAAAAGGTCATGGCCCTGAGTATTTATATATTTAATTATTTTAATTTGACACTAAAAAGGGTTTCTCTTCAGTTCCAGATATTTTTAAACCAGATCAACAGTTCCTTGGTTGACTCAAACATGCTGGTTCGCTGCATCACACTGTCCCTGGACCGGTTTGAGAACCAGTCTGATGCTAAAGGTGAACAGTGAGGAGTGGGGTGGGCTCTGTTTGGTGGGAATACCTTAAATCTGGGCTTTTGAAAATTTGGGGTGCAGACAGAGGGAAATGCTACCCTGAAAGTTTGTTTCTGCAGTCTGAGCACCAGTTCTTGCTGCCCTGGTGCTTGGACCAGCATGTCTGACCCTGCAGCACCTGCTGACTGTGTCTCTCCTCTGGCTGCAGTGGCAGAGGTCCTGTCCGAGTGCCGCCTCCTGTCCTACATGTCCCAGATGTCCATGAGAATGTCCTTCCTTTTCCGTCTCATCAATATTATCCATGTACAGACACTCACACAGGTAAAGAGCTGACAGTAACTTTAGTTACCTTGCTGGTACTGGAGTGATGAGCAGAGCTGGGAGCAGGGAGGAACCATGGCCCTTCCTCCTTGCTGTGTGTAGGGACACCTGCTTTCCACAAGCATATCTGCTTTCCACAAGCATATTTTGTAAGGACGTGTTTACAACCAGCATCTTGATATTTTTTTGTTTGCTGTGTCATTTTTACTCTCAGGAAAACGTCAGTTGTTTGAACACAAGTTTAGTTATCCTAATGCTGGCCCGAAGGAAAGAAAAGCTCCCCTTTTACCTGCGCACCTTGCAACAGATGGAATACACGGAAAAGTACCCTGGATTCATCCTGAACAACTTCCACAGCCTCCTGCGATTCTGGCAGCAGCATTACCTCAACAAGGATAAAGACAGCACCTGCTTAGAAAATGTATGTGACCCTCTGACCACGGCAGGGATCGACCACAGCAATACCTGCCTGCCAGTCACCACAGGGATGGGAAGTGGGAGGTTGTGAAGGGAAAGAAGGGGGGAAGTTCTGCCCCCAGTGTAACTCCTGCAGTGTTTTTAACACCATCTCACACAGTCAGGCTGCCACAAGGCAGCTGCTGGGTTTCCCTGCAAACAAAACCTGAGGTCTTGGCTCTGGCACACAGACTTGCCAGTGCTGAGTGGGGTGAGAGGCAGGGCTGGCGGGATGGGCAAGGATGTGGAGGCAGGACAAAATGCAGCTCCCAGACTAGTTAGCACCTTAACCAGGCTGTTCCCTCTTCCTGAGTGGCAAACAGTGCAGGAAATTATCCGGTGCAGCTGCTGGAAGACAAGGAGCTGCCCTGTGGAAAGCAGCCTGCAGGCTTCTGCCCCAGAGCTGGTCTGTGTTGGGCACTGGGGTAGAAATGACCTGTGATGAGAAGGCAACTCCCTTGTATAGGGAAGGTGAAGTGAGGTTGTACAGGTTTCTTCATTGACTTTTCAGTGATTGGGTGGCAGCTTTAACAGATTTTTAATGAGTTCAAGGAAAAACCCCTTCAGTTCAGAAAGCTCCTATGGATGAGGTACCTGAGGTGGAGCAGCATTAGGGCTTTGGAAGTAGAGAAAATAAGGAGTTCCCAGACAGGAGGAGTGTGATGGAGGAGGAGGATGGGTGGGAATAACTAGTCCAGTGTGTAAAGGCTGTGGTAACACATCATGTATGATGGGCTGCCAGAGTGGCCTTTTGGCTTTCAGGGAATGATGCAGGAGGGATGTGAGCAGGGAGGGGATGTTGCCTTTGTGTCTTCCCAGGGGTGGGAGGTACTGCCAGTACCTGCAGCACTGCAGGGACACAGAGTGTGCTCAGACTGGACAGCAGAGGGACAGTTTGGGGTGGTGTGGGTGGCCCAGGCAGAGGTGCTGGCAGTCCCTGTATGGAGGCATACATGTCTGTATCTGTATCTCTGTATATACTGGGTAGTGGGAGGCTGGTTGTGGAGGGTGTGGTTGGTTCATCCAGCCCTTCTGCTGCAGGCCCCAGGGAGGGAGGGCTGGGTGGTGAATCCAAAGCGTGGGTTACACGGTCGGGCTGGGGAGAGCTCGGGATGAGCAGGAAGCAGTTTCCAGTCCTCTCTGCTGAGTGCCTTTGGGATGAGTCTCATGCTGCATGTTGGTGCTGTGGGCCACCCCAACCATCCTTTCCTCTCTCCCCACAGAGCTCCTGTATTAGTTTTACCTACTGGAAAGAGACTGTATCTATACTGCTCAGTCCGGACCGGACGTCCCCCTGTGCCATAGTGAGCTACATCGACGAGGCGTACATGGACATTGACAGAGACTTTGTGGAGGAGTAACCCTGGGCTCCAGCTTCCGATGGACAGCGCTTGGAGGGTCCCTTGCAGCCCGTGGATTTTCAGGGATACGCTGTGCAGTGTGTGTGTGTGTGTGTGTGTGAGTGTGAGGAGCACTGTCAAACCCCGGCCCCTCCCGGTCCCAGGCTCTGATCTCTGACCGATGAGACTTTGGGCAGCTCTCTGGGCAACACATTCAGGGATGTATCTTCCAGTTGTTCTGGGATAAAAATAACCACCTGCAAATACCAGCCTCTGTTATTTTTTTTCCTCTCTCTCCCGGTCCAGCGGGGTTGGTCAGAGATGGTTTTGCTGACAGTGAGGATACTCTGTATGTGCCAGTTGAGTTGTGGCTCTCTCATGGCAAGTCAAAAGCACAGCAGTTGCCCTCCAAATGTGAGGTCCAAGGAGCCAGTCTGACCAGGACCCCAACACCAGCCACATGCAGAGCCCCCACGGGGACCCCCTTCAGGTGTAACCCTTCTGCTGGGGTTTGGAATCAGGGGTTTAGGGTTGGGTAGAGCATGAGTGTATGTGTGTGTGTGTGTGTGTGCTTTTAATTCCTGAGAGCCCTAGCTCCAGTCACCTCTTCACCATCTCCTTTTGGATCATTTGGTACTAAATCTGTGCATTAGGAGAGAACCTCTGCTCCTGCTGTCTTTCCTGCAGATCCTTTCCACCTGGAGGTGTTTTACAAAGCTGCAGAGAACAGAGACATTTGAGCAGTGGTGGAATTGCAACAGAGGTTGGCTTTTTCACGGAGCACTTAGCATTAAAATGTACTAATTTTTTAAACTTGCGGCTTGTCCCTTCTCTTGGGTAACTAATCTGGTTTTAAAATCCTTTTCAGGACCATTGCTCTTGATGTTAACCTGCTATGCCTGGAAGTCTTATGTCAGTCTCTTGCTTTCAGTCCTTAATATCAACACACACATTAATCTTGAAGTGCAATATTTACTGGAGATGTCCGTATTTCCTGCATCTGTTTTAATCAGAATGTGTTAAATGCTGGGAATAAACACTCCTGTTCCTGAAAGTAACTTTGTAGGATATGTTGGGAAAGGGGGAATTGGGTTTTGGCAGTCCTCATTGCCAAACCTGCACGTGCCCTGCCTGCTCACCAACACTGCATTATCCAAGACAGTCAGATTCCCAGGAATGAGATACAGCCATTACGTTTAAGTCAAAAAAGTGTCTTGCAGTTCCAGCTAAAAGAAACCAGTTTTGAAACATGCATCTGAATTTTTTTTTTTTTTTACATTTTCTAATTTATTTTATGAGATGACTTGACTTCAGCTCTGTCCAGGCTCCAGAGGGGTGAGGATGTTCTGAGCCGGCAGCATTTTGTGTCTTGTCGTTTCCAGCAGAATGAGTCCCACTCTGAGTCTCCCAGTGCTGGGGGTGGAGGAGTGAACAAGGCTCCAGTCCCGAGGGCAGGACCTGTCTCTGAACATCTCCCTCCTCCTCTTGCTTCTCTCACCCCTCAGTGTCCTGCTATGGACGTGCAGGGTGGTCGGAGCTGCTGAGCTTGTGCATAAACCTGGAGCCTTGCAGGAGCTCCTGGGGATCCTGGTGGCCCTCCCTCGGGGCTGCTCCAGTGGGATCACCCTGGGGAGCTCCTCCCTACAGCAGCTGCAACTCTGTTCTTCACCAGGTCACCCCCGCCCTGCCCCTCCCTCCCCTCAGCTAATTTCTTTCTCATCTGTACTTTTTTGTTCTTGGGTATTTGTGTTTTTGGTGTATCTTTGCTTCTTCTTAACTGTAATAGATGTACACTTCAAATAAATGCTTCAAATTAAAAGGCTTTTAAGTTAAGGGATGCCTTTTCCATAGTGTAGTTGATTGGTGCATCCACTGGCTGCTGCTCTGACCCTGCCCAGTCTCACCTCCCTCTCTGTGTTTTAAGGTCCGTTTGGGGCTGAGCAGCCCCTGGGAGGCTGAGCTGAGCCCACACCACCCCATCTGCTCCCAGGCCTGGGAGCACAGGCATGTTTGGGTCCTCACCTGTTTGAGGTGTCTTGGCTTTGCTTTGGGGCTGAGGCAGGAGGGGCAGAGAAAGGCAGAGGGGAGAAACCCATGGCAGCTCCTCCAAGGACGGAGCTGGGCTCCAGGGAGAGGCTCTGCCCCAGTGCAGAGGGTCACAGATACATCCTAACTGGGGCTACATTCCTGGGGGCTCGTCTGTCTGTGCCAGGTGCTTCAAGAACCTCATTTTGAGAGGGACCAGACCCCCTCTGTCCTTCATCCTTGTGTGTTATTTATGGAGAGCAGGGGCAGGTGGTGCTGGGAGAGCCCACTGGCCCCACAGAGGTGGCAGCAGGTTGGGAGCTGGGACAGGGAGGAAGTAGGACCCCTGTCATTTAACAAATACCTCGGGAAGTCTGCACTGTCCCCATGGTTTGCTGAGGTCCGTGCTGCCCTGATTAATGCCAATTTACTAACTGCAAATAAACATATTAAATGGAAACTATTAAAGAAATCTATTTTAAAGAAATGAGCGGAGGTGTCTTTCTTTGCGGTGACTTTGCCAAAGCTGTAACAACCCTCCCTGTGCCCTGCAGGGCTGTAGTTGGGGGTTTTATGTTCTCAGGAGTAGTGGGTGAGGTCTGTTCTGACCCCCTGTCCTGCCTCACCCCTCAGCTCTGGCCCCCTGCAGCTGAGAGACGTGTTTTGGTGGGGAGGGATGAGGAAAGGGCTCTTTTCCCAAAACCCATCCCAAGCTAGGGCTGTAGAGCTGGAAGGACAAGGCCTGGACCTCTCCTCTGCCCTTACCTGGCTGTGAAAAGATGTTCCCAAAGATCCCAGCTGGCCCCACATCCCATCAGCAAAGGCCAGGGTTACCCTGGGACAGACACAACAGAGCAAGTCCTGGCAGAGCTACATTTATTCACACGGTGCAAAGCTGGCAGTGGCTGTTGCAGCCACTTGCCTCCAACCTACAGCAGCAGCTGGGACAGGGCAGGGTGGGCACCCAGGCTCCTAATGCTGGAAAAAAATCCAAAAGGGCTTTGGTGAGAGCTGGGACCTGGAGGGCGGAGCGCTGTGCCACCCTTCAGGTCCCGGCAGCAGTGGGAGGTGAGGGCAGCAGTGCCAGGGCAGGATGTGGCCGTGGGCTGTGTGGTCACTGCCCTGGCTCCAGGGCTGGCAGGAGCTCCTGCCCTCCTCCCCACTCCCCCAGTCCAGGTGTGCTCACCTTGGAGAGGACGACGTCCCTGGTGCGGGCGCGCAGTTTGTTCACCTGCGTCTCGGCGATGTCGGCGCGTTCCTCGGCGTCGTCCAGCTCGTGCTGCACCTTGCGGTACTTCACCAGGTTGGAATTGGCCTGCTGCTCCTGGATGGGGTGAGGGGAAGGGTGGGTGTCTGGGGCACAGCTCCCCACATCGCCCTCGATGCCCCTTGCAGCCATGCCAGGCGGTCCCAGGGAGGGACAGCCCCGTCCCCCATCCCAGGAGAGCGGTGCTGGGCACTTACGGCCTCCTCGAACTGGCGCTTGTAGCTCTTGACCTTGCTCTGCAGCTTGTCAATCAGGTCCTGCATCCGAGCCAGGTTCTTCCGATCTTCCTCAGCCTGCAACGCCCCAGCTCTGTTAGCAGGACCCCAGCAGCCCCCCCACTGGGGATCCACCTGCCCCCCCACATTTCTCGGAGAGTCCCGGTGGTGCCAGGGCCCTACACACACACACACACACACACACACACACACACAAAGGCCAACCCAGCCCCCTGTCACAGCATCTGACCCCTGGTTCCCCTCCCTGTGTCCCATCACCCAGCACAGGAGTTGCTGGGAAATGGGCAGAAGGACACAGAGCAGGATGTGCATGTTGTGGCAGAGACAAACCTGTCCCACCCGTGTCAGTCCCTGCACAGAGCCCAGAACGAGCCCGGGCTGGGCTGGGCTCAGTGGGTGGGTTATTGGGTAACACAAGAGGCTGGGCAGAGGGAGTTGTGCCAAGCCCTGCTGTGCTGGGGCTGTGCCTGGTGCTCCTGTACCTGGTAGCTCATCTCCTTGATCCTCCTCTCGTACTTGCGGATGCCCTTCTGGGCTTCAGCCATCTTCTTCTGCTCCGTGTCCAGCTCTCCCTCCAGCTCCCGCACCTGCAGGTGGGCACAGCCCGGCTCAGCACCCTGCTCATGGGCACTAGCACCAGCCCAGCTGAGGCCAAGTCACCTTCCCAGCTCAGAGAAGCCACAGCAGAGGCTGAACCACCCTGAGCAAAGGCTGGGAGCCGGGCCCAGGCTCGCAGGTCCTTGGGGACTGTCCCCTGGTCCCCCCAAAGCACCACCTGTCCCCCCAGGGCTGGGGTGGGACAGGGGCCAGGGCAGCACCAGGAACTGGCTTCTGGGGGACAAAACCAGGGATCTGCCCCTGCCTTCTCACCCTGGCCTCCAGCTTCTGGATCTGCTTCTTGCCCCCCTTGAGAGCAATCTGCTCTGCCTCATCCAGGCGCATCTGCAGGTCCTTGATGGTCTGCTCCATGTTCTTCTTCATCCGCTCCAGGTGCGCGCTCGTGTCCTGCTCCTTCTTCAGCTCCTCTGCCATCATGGCAGCCTGCCAGGCCAAAAGCAAGGGGGCATCACCACAAGACCAGGCAGCCCTGCCAGACACAGGGGGAAGTTCTGAGACCCTCCCTTCTCCTCCCAGAACCACCCAGCACAGTGCCCACCACGCTCTTACATCTGTGATGGCCTTCTTGGCCTTCTCCTCGGCATTGCGACACTCCTGCACCGCATCCTCCACCTCACCACTCAGCTGGGAGACGTCTGCCTCCAGCTTCTTCTTCTGGTTGATCAGGCCTGTGTTCTGCACACAGAGCAGGTTCAATGTGACCAGGGCTGGCCCTTCACCGTGGCCAGTGGAGAGGCTCCTGGCTCTCCTGCCAGCAGAGATGTGGGACGTGGCAGTGCCTCACCTGGGAGTGGAGCAGGGTGACCCTCTCGCTGGCCTCCAGCAGCTCCTGCTCCGCCAGCTTCCTGCTCCTCTCTGCCTGCTCCAGCACGGCACGCAGCTCCTCCACCTCTGCCAGCAGCAGGTTGTTGCGGCGATCCAGGGCCCCCACCTGCTCCTTCAGGTCGTCGTTCTGGCGCTGGGTGTCATCCAGCTCGATCTGCAGGTCCTGTGGGGCAGTGTGGGGTCAGTGGGGTCAGGAGGGGGCTGGGCAGGGACAGCACCCAACCTGTCCCACTGTGACCGCCCGACCTTGATCTGGGCCTGGAGCTGGCGGCCCAGCTTCTGGAACTCGGCAGCCTGGCGGTTGGCGTGGTTCAGCTGGATCTCCATCTCGTTCAGGTCTCCCTCCATCTTCTTCCTCAGCCGGACGGCCTCGTTCTTGGCCCGGGCCTCTGCGTCCAGCGAGGCCTGCATGGACTCCATGGCCCGCTGGTGGTTGCGCCTACGGGGGAGATTGTGAATCAGCCACAGCCCCCTGGGGACACCCAGCCTGGGGCAGCCCTGCCAGGGCCACGGTGTCAGCTCTGCCCCCACAGCCACTGCCCAGCCTTGTCCCCTCACCCCACACACCTCAGGTTCTCAAACTCCTCGTCCTTCTCTGCCAGCTTCCTGTCCATGTCAGCCTTGATCTGGTTCAGCTCCAGCTGGATGCGCAGAGTCTTGCTCTCCTCATGCTCCAGGGCTCCCTAGAAACACCTCAACCATGGGAAAGTGGTTCCTGAAGGGGGGGTCACCCACTCCAGCCTGGCAGCTTGGCCTTGCCCCCTAGCCCAGCATTATGGGGAACAAGGCAGGTGGAACCACCCCAGTGCCTGCAGTGGTTGCAGGACTCCATGAATAACCTCCCAGGGGTTAGAGCCTGGCTCAGGACTGTCACCCTCCAGCAGCACCTGACCAGAGCTGCAGGGTGGGCCAGTGGCTCCTGGGGGCAGCAGGAACATGTGGAAAACAAGGACCCACCTCAGCCTCTTCCAGAGCTGCCTGGATATCGCTCTTCTCACTCTCCAGGGCTTTCTTCACCTTCTCCAGCTCATGGATGGTTTTTCCACCCAGACTGATCTGGTCAGTCAGATCAGCGATTTCCTCTGGCAGGGACAGAAGGCATTTGGTCAGGAAGGAGTTTATGGGACCAGTCCTGTGAAGGTGACATCCCCATCCCACTGCCCCAGGCTCAGCTGATGTCCCCCCAGCCCCTTGGAGGGCAGCTGAGGTTGTGCTTGGGGACATTTCTGAAGTCTGGGTGAAGGAGAGGGAATGGGAGAGGCATTAAGTACATGGGGAGACCTGTTTGTCCAAGAGCAACACCCCCAGGGCAGTGTCATGCCACAGCCGTGGCACTTGGCAGCAAATCATGCACCATGTGGGAAGAGGAGCCAAGTGGCTCTGCCTGACCTCCCAGAGGGCCCCAGCAAGGGGGCAGGACATGTTTTGGCATCCTGGCAGGGCTGCTGTATCCCTCCAAGGGATGGGCTGAGCAGCAAGGTCTCCTCTCTGCCAAGAAGGGACCCAATATCCCCCTGGCCTGAGGACAGGGAGCAGGAGCCTGGGCAGAGCCCGAGGGGACAGCCTGAGCCCAGTCCTACCCTGCAGGTTCTTGTTCTCCCTCTTGAGGGTCTCCAGGTGGTCCAGGGACTCCTCGTAGGCGTTCTTGAGCTTGAAGAGCTCCGTGCTCAGGCTGCGCGACTCCTTCTGCGACGCCTCCAGCTCCACCTGGGTCTCCTCGTACTTCTGCTTCCACTCGGCCAGGATCCTGTCAAAGTTGCGCTGCTTCTTGTCCAGGGCGGCGCAGGCGGAGTTGGCGCGTTCCAGGTCCACTGAGAGGTCCTCGATCTCCGTCTGCAGCCGGTGCTTGGTCTTCTCCAGCGAGGAGCACTTGGCGTGGGCGGCCTCCACGGCCTCCTCCGCCTCCTGCAGCCGGGTGGCCAGCTTCTTCCTGCCCACGGCAGCCAGGGTGAGCGTTCCCTGCCCGAGTGTCACCCCACCCCACTGCTCTGAGCAGCCTCAAATCCCTGTGGAAGGGTCGTCCTGGTATCTAGGGCAGCCCCACTGGTGAATGGAAACTTGCCACCCAACTTGTGCCATGGGACTTACTTGGCTTCCTCCAGCTCCTCAGTCCTCTGGATGGCATCAGTCTCATACTTGGTTCTCCACTGGGCCACCTCAGCGTTGGCCTTGGACAGGTTCCTCTGGAGCTCGCTCTTGGCCTCCACCTCCTCCTCGTACTGCTCCCGCAGCAGGTCACAGTCATGCCGGGAGGCTTGCAGGGCATGGGCCAGGGCATTCTTGCTCTGAGGGAGGGAGAGCAGCCCCGGTGAGAGCAGCAGCTGGCCCCAAGCTCCAGGACATTGGCCGTGGCACTGGGAGCAGCAGGAGGGAACTTCTGTTCTTCCCAGGTTCAGAGCTGCCCTGTGTGCAGGGTGTGTCCCACCTCCCCAGTCCAAGAGCCTGAGTCACTGCCACAGTGTGACACACACCCCATTCCCTGTGATCCTTGTCACTCCCAGATCAGCTGTGCCCTAGAAGCCTCACCTTGGTCTCTTCCTC